GTCAATCAATGTGGCATGGACAACCCCCATGCTCTCCAAATAAGGCAACAAAGTCCAACATAGTCTCAAATCATAAAACGATATAAAGGCAATAAAACAGAATAACAGCCAGGCATATCAACACAACATCAAATATCTCAACTCAGCTCCGGCCTCCTGCCGCCCGAGGTCTCAACCTCCGAGTTACCTGAACCTGAAAATGTGCCCCAAACGTGGGGTGAGATATCTAAACAGAAATCCCAATAAGACAAGGGGTCCTCAAGGATCTCTCCACCCCAAGCTCACTTACATGTGCAATATAAGTTCTAAAAACAGTTTACAGTATAAGTTCCAAAAATCAGTGCAATGCAGCAGAATAATCATGTCATGTGTGTCAACTATTCTACTGGCCAGAGAAATGCAGGATTTACATACGTCTATTACCTACAATCAGTGCAAGACACCACTTGCACCCACCTAAAGAATCACCCTATGGTATGTCTCCTACATACACAGGCTTACCGTCTAGGTGGAACAACACATGCATATCATAATGCACTTGCACATAACAGCTCAACAGCATTTCAAATATCCAAACATGAAAACACATCATGCATATAAATCATTCCCCCATGGGGTATGGTGGAACCAACAATGGCTAAACCGAGGACACGAAAGCTTACCTCGCAAGCTAACTATCCAATCAAGAGTCCAACCAAGTCTAAGGTCCACAAACAACACTCTCACAGTCTGTTTATACCAACAATCATATCAACATTCACAATCTAATAGTTCAAGACATATCAACAACGTTTTTCTTCTTCGTTTCATGTCTTTAGGTTTCTCACAAAGCCATAAGCCCTTAATCACTTTGATTCAGACTTAGTTAATTAATACAGAGGTTCAACTTAATCAATCATGGGTCCACTAACCCAAAAATACAGTTCTGTATGCACAGAACCGTCACTGTTTCGAAATACCCAGAATATCCGGATATTTGTCGGGTCATATCCGGATATCCATATCCGGATATCATATCTGGATATCTCAACCCCATATCCCGATATCAATATCCGGATATCATATTCGGATATTTTGCGACAGAATGCAGTTTCTGCATTTCGCGAGATATCACTCCCAAGGTTCAACTTTTAACCCATTTCAATGTCCAAGCATGCATTTTTATACACTTTTAGGTTCATGTTCATGTTGGTTACCTATTTAACTCATATTACACGCCAAGATTCTTCTTTTAACAAGGAAAATTATGATCAAAGGTTAGGGACATACCCAAGACTCCCAAAACAGAAAAGGGAGGTGCTCTTGGAGCACTCTATGAAGCTCCAACAATCTGACTTTACAAAGCCACAAAAATGGTGATCAAGGATGGTTCTTTCTCCACAAAGTTAGCTCCTTGAGGCTCCAAAAGCCAAGACAACGGCTCCCACTTCACCAACAAGGAAGTCAGCCCACCAACTCTCACTCATAGTCACAGAAGCTGTATGCTCAGAAATGGGGAGCCTCACTCACTTACAATGCTACTTCACACTACCCCAAGGTGTTTTGGTGAAGATTCCATGAAGAAAATGGCTTCTTAGCTCACAAAATGAAGGAGAAGAGAAGGTGACAAGATTGGGAGACACCAAGTTTCAGAACGGAGGCACGTAGGGTGTGAGATTTTTGACCTAGAAATTTGTGCCTTCACTTATATAGTAGTATTAAGTTTAATCACACTATATTAACATTAATAGCTACGCTTAGTATTTTAATCTCAAACTTTGGATTCTGAATCTAATCATTTTTCTAAGATTTTTCATATTTTCATTTTATTTTTCGCAGCACTTTGCCGGTACGCGCTTTTACGTAGCCGGTATCAGTTCTGACGCCAGTTCTCATTATTTTGACCCCAAACTTGTTATACTAGTCCTATATATTATTCTAGTAATATATACACACTTTTCATAATTTTTTGGGATACTTCATCAGTACGCATTTATACCCTGAGGCAGAACCGGTATCTGCACTTTTCATCAGAAAAGCGACTTTCAACATTATTAAACACTTATCATAATTATTTAAGCCTTCTCATAATTATTAGGGTCAATTATGGAAATATCTCACTAATATCATAATGAATTAATTAAATTCCTAAATTAACGGTACGGGTTCTTACACTTGACACCTTTTTTTGAAGTCTACAACAAAATATCAGGTATACTTGAACCTAAGATAATAATTGTCGTATATTTTGTATTTGTTATTCTGATTTTTCCTATACAATGAAGAGCACATAAAAGTGGGAGATACAGAAAGACAATTAGAGTATAACAGAGTTAAAAATAATTAACGCATATTAAAAAAAAATTAAATCCTTGATCCTTGCAAGCTGGACTATTATGATGTTCTGAGTAGACTGATTATTTGCCAAAAAAGTTTGCGCTTCATCCACACACTGCTCCCAGAAAGTATGCTCGAGCTTGTGACCCCTATTTACAGAGCAACTGGAAGAAGTAAAAATATATTTTATATGAAAATATATTTCACATCGATCATACAAAAATACCTGAGGTCATCAAGTTCTAAAACAACCATCTTTCTTTTTCTACCAGATACAACATCCTCACGAACTTCCCCAATACCTGATAGCAAACCGATGACGTCTACAGAAAAAGAAGTTGAACATTTATCAATGACATCAACATATTAAATATATCAGTAAACTCAGAGACAAAAACATTATCTACTAAATAAGGAGAGTCAGCTGATTCCCTCTCTATAATGTCAAAATCAACAAAACTAAATTCATTAATAGGAATAATAGCATCCATAGTCGATTTAACATCGGTCCTCAAGTTGAAAGACAGACGATAATCATGTCTAGTTGGCCTGAAATTATAACTATTCAACCCAACTCCAAAATTTCTTTTAAAATAGACATCCCCTTCACAAATTTTTTTACGAACATTCAGAGATCCTTTGATAGTAGCATGTATCCTTCTACCCTACAAAACCAATACATTAGATACCTTCACATCAGGGCCGTAAAAAAAAAGAACGAAACGAAACAAAAAACCAAAAAGGAAAAAGAAATAAACAGAACGCAAAGTATTACCTTCTCGTCTAATAGAACCATGTCTAGATTGTGGTCAAAATCTTTTTGCTGAAAATTAGGAACCTTCCAAGTCCTAACCTTTATCATCCACTCCTCCTTCGATGAATTAAGATCCTTAATGAAATCATATCTGGAGTACATATCTAGCACCAAAAAAAAGGTTGAGAAGATGAAGATGCAACAGATAACACAAAAGAACAGGATGAGGATGGAAGAATCACAAAAGGCGATGATCAAAGGAAAGAACCAAGCAACACAAATGATATAAATACACATCTTTCAAAATGGACTTGAAAAGTCTCTGAACTTCTTTTATCGTGCAGCATATTATCATTTAAATTTACATTTAAATATTAAATGCACATAACAATGATCCATGCATAAAGTAGTGGAACTTTAATCCAGCTTGACCCTTCTTTTTCCACTAACTAATATTAATTTTTGATTTAAATTTTTTTTACCAAAAGAATGTTGAGATATATAGTCCCACATTGATTGTATGTGCAACTAATGCGGAGTTTATAAGGCCTTGGGCACTCCCACCCTTTGAGCTAGCTTTTGGGGTGATGTATCCCAAGGTTCTTTACATGGTATCTGAGCTTGAGTGACTATAAGTCACAAGTTCGATCCTCACCGCCCCCATTTTAAAGTAGAATTAAAATGTTTACCAAAAAAAAAAAGTGGAATTAAAATAAAAGCACAAAAAGGTAAACCAAAAATTGGGTCTGTGCAATATCCACGCTTCTAGCCCAATGAGCTCCCGTGTGAGTGGGCGTGTTGAGATATATAGTCTCACATTGGTTGTATGTGCAACTAATATGGAGTTTATAAGGCCTTCAGTACTCCCACTCTTTGAGCTAGCTTTTGGGGTGATGTATAACATTTCTCAAGTGTGAACACAATGATGAAATTGAAAGAGAGAGTGACACATCATCAAACTTTCCAATGTTGTTTATTTACTTAGTATATATAATTATGCCTCTAATAATGGCATAAAATAAAGTCTTGATTAATTCAATTCTTTGAAAACATTTATGTAGTTTAAAGTTATTTTTAGTAGTCAATCCATACGAATTGAAAAGCATAATTTTTTAATGTATAAATATAAATTTCATGTTAAGAAAAATTTACTCTTTCCTAATCTAATAAATAAAAATATATTAGTTATTGTCAATTATGCACGTGTATTTATACGGGTTGACTACATACGACGGAATTCCGGTAAAAATTTTAATTGCTTTAACAATTAGAATAAATTTATTTATTTTTTAAAAAAAGGAATGAAATAAAATTATTAGGAAATAGTTGATTTTATTTTTAATTCACAGCATGAACATGTTGACAAAATCCAAAACTTATTAGGTACTAGTTGATTTTATTTTTATTGTTTGAAAAAATAGAAAAAATATTAACTATTAAACATTAATTAATTAGACATTAGCATATTTTTAATACTCCCGTAACAATTATTCTTTTTTTTTTCCGGTAAACTAACAAGTATTCATTAATTACCCAAAGTATGACTAATATGATCTTAATCATAAAAGGAACAGGTAGAATAAATGTAAATAAAAATAAATAAATAAATGTAAATAGATAAATTATTTTCTTAAGTGTAATAAGTGATGTACCGAGTTTTTAATATTACCATAATACTGAAAATATTTTCACTTATTGCTGATATATCTAGCTTTCATTATAATAATGTTTTACCGAAAAGGATTTATTTTTACCATTTAAAAATAATTCTGAAAGATTTAATGCTGTATTTGTTTTCTCCATTTATTAATTACTTGTATCCAATTAATAGTGATGCAAGCTACTATTTAACCCCCTCTAGCTATGCTTCCTTCACAAATCACTTTAGCCTACTCTAAATCATCATTTGCCCACTTCACTCTTGTTAATCATGCAAGCACTAATCATCTCTTGTGTTTTAATTTTTGGTTTTGTTTCACCATGTTTATGTTTGAGGTGGAATGTTGTTGGAACCAAAAACACTTATGATGTGATGGCATATGGTGCTCATGGTGATGGCAAATCAGATGATTCACAAGTATTTTTTTTTCTGCTGTTTTTTGTTTCATTATACTTTTAATCTAAATTTCTTGAAAACCTTCAATTTTGTATTTAAGTGGAATTTTATGGTTGTTTACTTAATATGCATTTGATGTCAAGTTTTGATAGGTTATGACCAATTGAGTGATCGACCATTAACGAGATCTTTCTATTTGAATTGATTGAAGGCATTTTTAAGTGCATGGAAAAATACGTGTGAGGCTGAAGGTGCATCAACTCTAGTTATACCACGAGGAAAGGTATTCATGGTGAACAGCATAACATTAATCGGTAATTGCAAGGCCACAAGTATTCACATTCAGGTATAGATAATATCTAACTTATGATTGAACTGTTATTATAATTATCTTCTTTTGGCGGAATATATTTGCATATTTCAAGTAATTAAAATACTCCGTATATAAAAGATTTTAAAAAATAAACAAGATTACAAGAATTTGAAGAGCTATGATCACTTGTTTGATATCATTTAATGAAGATAAAAAAAATATATTCCTTTCTCTTGTTTGATTTTTATATGTTGAAAATATGGCAATCAAAAACACACGATTAAGTTAAACACTAACGGTTTGTTTGAGAGTTAGTTTTAGGAGGGAAAGAAAGAGAAGAGTTTTAATAACTCGTTCCCTTGTTTGTGAGTTTAAAAAAGTGAGGGAAAAGATTTAAGAATTTTCACAAAATCCTTCAAAATTCTTCTTGTCCTTCAAATTAAAGTTTTCCCAATTTGAGAGGTCTTAACTCCCAAACAAAGAAATGAAATACCCTTCATTTTCCTTCCTCTCCCTTGAATTCCTTTTCTTCTCCTTCCCTCCAAACTTCCAAGTTCCAAACAAAACATAAGAGGGAGAGAGAGTCATGGATTTATTCTAGTCTAATATAGGGTTAGGTCAAGCAATAGATTTTCACTATATTATGATCACGGTATTCGTTATAATTATATATTTTGTTACAAGAAAATGTAAATAGGTTTAATAAGATTAAGATGCAATAACTTGATCTTTGCCAAAAGAGAAGATACAATAACTATTCATAAACTAAAATTCAAATTATCAAAAAAAAAAAAAAAACCAAAGCCTAAAATAATGTGGACCTCATACGCATCGAGAGGACTAGTGTTATAACCTACGTAAAGTATAAGTAATATCATCAATAAAATAAAAAAAACTAATTAATAACATTAGAATATATAAACAAGGAAAAATCATACTCTTATGTTGCATGAAATTGATATCTCATGTTATTCTCACTTCAAAAAATGTGTTTTTTTTTTTTTTTTTTTTTTTTTAAAAAAAAATTGGTAGACCCACTTTACTTATCTATTAACATGAGAGAACTTTTCCCATACTATATGAGAGAAATAATCCCCATAAACAAGTGTAAGATCTATTTTAATTTCTTAGTATCCGAAGGAATTATGATTTTGGAGCATAGAAATGGGTCCCCTTGTATGATATTAGCTCGTGTGAGTGGATTTTAATTAAATGTCCCCAAATTTCAATTTTGTGTTAAGAAATTCTAAAATATCTACTAGAGGAATAGGGCAACAAAATCAAACCTAGATCACTTGGTCTAACCATTTGTATATTATATCACGAATCAACAGTCTCACAAAAATTTAAATATAAATGAATAATTTTTATATTTATCTTTCTAATATAAAGAAATAAATCAAATAAATAAACTATATATTATTGCACGAGAAATACTCTACAATATATAATTAAGGACATATTATTTTCTTTTGTTCCTCCTTGCAGCTTCTAGGAGAAATAACTGCACCTTCCAAGGACAGATGGGTCGGTGAGATAGGTGAGATCTCACAATTGATTACCATCTCATATGTAAACGGTCTTACAATTGATGGTGGAGGACTTATCTATGGCCATGGTTCTGATTGGTGGCTATGCAGAACTTGCCCACGACCTAGAGTATGACCACTCTGAAATTAATTAATTTATATATATATATAAATATACAGTGGCAGAGCCGGGCTCCAATTTGAGCTCGGGCTAAAAAATTATATATGTGTTTATTTTTCATAATTTTAGTTAGTTTATATTATTATATTTAAATTATATTAAATATAGAGCACATGACCAGGTAATATCAAGAAGAGTTATGATTTTATTAAATATTTTTTAATTTTACTAAAATCATATTTTATTTTTTTATACAAGTGAAAATTGAATACATGACCTAATATAACTTACCCAAATCTTTCACCAAAATTATTTTAAATTTTAGATAGGACCAAATTATAAATTGAAACCCAGGCCAAATTATAATTTTAACCCAGGCCAAATTATAATTAATTATATAATTATATATAATAAGTACAATTTGTTAAAATTTAGTCCGGACCGAAGCCACACCCAACTAATACATGGCTCCACCACTATATATATATATATATATATATATATATATATATATATATATATATATATATTCTCAATGTATATGAGATAATTATATATATTCTCAATGTATATGAGATAATTTTATCTCTTACAATATGAGAGATATTAAACTCGTTAATTATTCTCTATATATATCTTGTGACATGATTTTTCATGTGGATGAGCAGCTCTTAGGTTTTCATTCTTGCAATAATCTTAGAGTTAGTAACCTGAGCATCACTAATAGCCCAGGAGGTCACATATCCATAAATGGTTGCAATGGTGCAACATTCTCTCATCTCAATATTCATGCACCTCCTGACAGCCCCAACACTGATGGAATTGACATTTCTGCTTCCAAAAATGTCTTGATAGAAGATTCCGCTATAGGAACTGGTAAACCATGTTTACATCTTATGTACATATCAAATTTACTTTGATATGCCATCACTATACGTGCATTTTTAATTTACTTTGCCTTTTCTAAATAGGTGATGATTGTATTGCCATCAATGGTGGTTGCTCTTACATCAATGCTACTAGGATTGCTTGTGGACCAGGCCATGGAATAAGGTTTATATAAAAGTTGATTTTGTTTTTGGTATACCGGCCCAAATTGTCTCTTTAAGGAGAGTCGGCCCTCCAAGTATTCTCATAAGCTTCAATTCTTTGAGTCGATTATGACTAATCCCGAATTAAAGCTTAATAATAGTTAAAACTCTTCATCCCTCCCAAAAAAATATATTTGGTGAGAATAGAATTCAAGTTCTTTCATCACTCTACACAGCATGTGTTGTCAATTGAGTTACACCAATTTAATTTAGGATATAAGCAATTAAGTAACATCCTCAACTTCACACTTAATTATGTGAAAATAATAGTTAAATATTTGATGTAAATATTATCACATGACTTGCACATGACATCAAACTGTAAAATATTTCCATAATTTTATTTAATAATCATATTATTGTAATTTCGTTATCCTATCTAGAAATAATCATATGTATGAATTAATCAGCATTGGAAGCCTTGGAAGAAATGGAATTCATGAGACAGTTGAAGAGGTTTATGTGAAGAATTGCAGCATCAATGGGACAACAAATGGAGCAAGAATCAAGACATGTCCGGTGTGTGATTATTTTATGTGTGGGATGGCACAACTAGTATTCTAATTATATCGTTTGTGCTCCTCTTCCAATTATCTTCACATTTTTTATTTTACATTTTTTCTTCAGGGTGGATCAGGTTATGCAAGGAAGATCACTTTTGAGCAAATCACACTTATAAAGGCTCACAACCCCATATTAATAGACCAGTACTATAATGGTGGACATCCAACGGTACACATTTTATTCTAGATTCATTTTATTTCTTGGGCGTTTTAACCATAATATGAAAAGTGAGATATTTTTCCTCATTGATTCAAAATTCAAGTATTTGCTAAAATAATACACATACGCGACTTGTCATATTGTGTGACTTATAATATTATGTGACAAACACGCATTTATTCTTGCACAAGTTGTACATTGTTTTCATGTGCGATTTGAAAGCGCACACTCTATGTATTTCTCGCTGCATTACTTTGGTAAAATGTTTAGATTTTAAATCAATGCGATAAAATATTTCTCTTTTCACATTAAATGAATAAAAATGCCTATTTCTTGTGATTTTAACTCTCTCTTTTCTGCCTATGACATCTATATTTTGAATTTTGGCAAATTAGAATAATTCAGACGTCGTGAAAGTGAGTGAAGTGACATACCGTGGATTCGAAGGAACTTCTGCTGATGAACAAGCTATTAACTTAAATTGCAGCTCATTAGGTTGTTTCAACCTTGTATTGGATCAAATTAACATTGTCTCTTCTCAGCCTGGGAAAAAGACATATGCTTCTTGCAACAATGCCCATGGAATAGTTGGATCTACTACTCCACGTGTCTCTTGCTTATTGAAATGATTCATGATACCCAATGTATGGAGTAACCATGTCAAATATATTATTCATCACATTGTATTGCACTGAAAATTACGAGTGACCAAATAATGGATTAGATCGATTGTTTTGAGAAAATATTTTATTGATTGAATTTAATTAGTTTTCTTACAATATTCTAATCGGTTTGGTTCAAAATATAAATATAATTTTATCCAATTCAAATTGAAAAGAATAATTTCATCAAAATATATCAAATACAAATCTAAATTAATTAATTAAAATACACTAAAAACAAGTTCAAACAAATTTATCAAAAATTATTGATTTAAGTTGTATAAGATTCATTCCCTTTAATTAAAACTCTCGAGTTCAAAATCTAAAAATCTAAAAATTAATATTGAGAGAGTTAATTACAAAATATTACACAATACCAGTTAATCATGACTAATTCTAATTGTATACTACCAAATGATAGTAGCTCAGTTGATGCATGTGAGCTGAGCATGTAGGGATAAGAGTATATATTTGATCCTCCTCATTACTATCTTTGCGATGAGTTTAAAGTCTTAATTCTGAATCCGTCTCGAACTCAAACTCTATATTAGTCCATAGGGAATCTATGAAATTACTAGGGGGATATTCTAAAAAAAAAAAAAAAAAAACCAGTTGCATATTGCTCTAACGTAACATTAGTTACTCTAGGTAGTAGGGGATAGTCGCTCCACAATTTTCTGTCTTTAAGACAACAACCAAGGCAAATAAATATGCAATAGTAGTGTTAACAATTTTCTATCTATGAGATTGAAGTCGAGCAGGGAATAAGATTATTAAAGCAACTATAAAATTAAGGTACATGTTGTTGGGTATGGCTCATACTTCGCATGTTGATGAGGACCCTTGTTGTCGGGGTCAGCAAAAAGGCAACTGGGGTTTTCTAATCCTATTTATATTTTTCTTGTAAACGAGTGGCGGTGAGGTGAATATAGTACAGACAAGCTAGACGTAACCTAAATTGGGTGAACCAGGGCAAATTTCTGTGTCTATTCTCTCTCTATCTCTCTTTCTCTTTTCATTTGCGATTTGTGTGATTGTCGGTTTCCAACATTTGGTATCAAGAGTTTTGGTTCTTCGACCGGGGTTCCTGTGACAGATTGGGGTTTCGTGATTCGGGGTTTTTTCTTGGCATAGAGAAAACTGCGAAATTGATCTAGAGAGGATGTCGACTGGCCAATCACGGGTCGAGGTTGAAAAGTTCGGAGGAAAAGGGTTCGAGTTATGGAAGCTGAAGATGGAGGCTTTGCTCGTTGACAGGGACATGTGGTACGTGATTGAAGATGAGAAGCCATCGGTACCAATGAAACCTGTTGGTGATGTAACGTCAGGTGAAGGTGAGCTGAAGGAGTTGAAGGCGTGGACCAGAGACGATCGAAAGACACTGTTGGTGATGTAACGTCAGGTGAAGGCGTGTCGAAGGAGTTGAAGGCGTGGACCAGAGACGATCGAAAGGCGCGAAGCCTGATCTGGTTATGCCTGGCAGATAACGTTCTGGTGAACGTAACTTCTGAGAAAACAGCGAAGGATCTCTGGACAAAGCTGGGAGGTCTCTATCAGAGGAACTTACTCTTAAACAAGTTGTTCCTGCGAAGGAAGCTGTATAATCTGCGGATGAGTGAAGGTGATTCTTTCTCTGCTCATTTAAATGAATTTAATACTATTTGTGCGCAACTTTCTTCTATAGACATTAACCTGGATGAGGAAGACAAAGCTTGCACCTTGTTGTGTTCACTGCCCAACTCTTGGGAGAACATCATTATGTCAATTGGTACTGGTGTTAATAAACTGTCGTTCGAGACGATTGTTGTTGCCTTATTGTCTGAGGAGATGAGAAGGGTTGGTTCTGAAGGTACCAACAATGAGGCTCTGGTTGTTAGAGGGAGGAGTGGTGACAAATCAAAGTCTGGTAACAGAGGTAGATCGAGGGGACAGTCAAAGTCCCGTGATAAATCTAATAAATCTTAATTAAGGTGTTGGAGGTGCCAACAGGTTGGACATTTGAGAAGAGATTACAGAAGCAAAAGCGTAGGTCCTGAGAAGCGGGATGATTCACAACCTTCTGCTTCGGGTACAAAGAAGGATGATGATGATAGTACAGGGGACCTATACATGGTGTTTGACAGTCAAAGTGATTGCAATGACTGAATTATTGACACTGGAGCATCGTTTCATATGACATCTCATAGGGAGTGGTTCTGCATTTTATGAATCATATTCTGGCGGTACAGTTAGAATGGGAGATGACATGACTCATGCTATTGTGGGATGTGGGAAGGTAAAGCTGAAGATGAGTGACGGGATAGTCAAGAATCTGTCGAGCGTGATGCATATTCTGAGGCTTACCAGAAATCTGTTCTCCGTTGGTAGTATGGCAGATGCTGGTATTAATTTCAGCAGTGAAAAGTATTCTTGCAAGTTGACTCGAAGAGCTTTGGTTAATGCAAGAGGAGAGCGCCATGGTAAATTGTGGAAATTATTGGGTAGCACAGTATTCAGTGGTGAAAGCTATGTTTCAGAACAGGTGGAGGAGGACACTGCTATGTTATGGCATAGGAGGCTGGGGCATATTGGAGGAAAAGGTCTGGAGACTCTAACATCAAATAAGCTGGTGGATGGAATTTTGAGATGCTCTATGGGGTTTGGATTTTGCGAGCATTGCCTGCAAGGGAAGCAAAATCGGGTATCTTTTGATTCCATAGGAGGAAGAACTGAGGGGATTCTGGACCTGATACACAACGACGTGTTTGGCCCCACACCTGTAGCATCACATGGAAAATCAAGGTATTATGTTTCCTTTACTGATGATTTTTCAAGATATGAGTGGTTATATTTCTTGCACAGCAAGCATGAAGTGTTCGATAAGTTCCGCGAGTTTAAGACTTTGGTGGAAAATCAGTTTGATCAAAAAATCAAGGTGCTGAGAACTGACAATGGAGGGGAGTTCAGTTCAACAAAATTTGATCAGTTTTGAGCGACCAATGGAATTGTAAGGTAGAAGACTACGCCTTACTCACCTCAACAGAAAGGGGTGGCAGAGAGGTTGAATCGATCTCTCATGGAGAAAGCACAGAGTATGCTGAGCGGTGCAGGCTTGGCAGCTGAGTTTTGGGCAGAGCAGTGGCTACTGCTTGTTATATAAAGAACATGTCTCCTACATCGGCCTTGAAGGAGAAGACTCCGTATAAAACGCTGTTTGGGAAAAGGCCAGATGTATCTCATGTCAGAGTGTTTGGCTGTGAGCATATATGCACGTACCCAAGGAGAAAAGAAGCAAGATTCACAGTAAATATGAGAAGTGTATCTTTATTGGGTACAAGGATGGCGTCAAAGGTTATAAGCTGTGGAATCCGGATACCATAAGTGTAACTTACAGCAGAGACGTTGTATTCAGGGAATCTAAGTTGAATCAAATTTTTCCTGAAGCTCCTGAAAAGTCAGAGACAGTGGAGTTGGATGTGGATTTGAAAGACGATACAATAAACTCACAGGTTCATTTGGAAAATTTGAATTCTGAACCTGCTGAATGTAACGAGGTAGAGGATGAATTTTCTGAAACCGAGGCTGAGGTTGAAGCACCAATGCTGAGGAGATCCACGAGGGAAAGAAGACCATCTGAAAGGTATACACCTGAAAATTATATCATGTGTGCTAGTGATGATGTTTGTGCATTTAGTATTACAGGTGATGATCCGAGCACTGTAAAACAAGCTAGGAGCTCGGAGGATGCCAAACAATGGGAGGAAGCTATGAAAGAAGAGATGAGGTCTCTGATGAAAAATCAAACTTGGAGTTTGGTGAATCTACCTACAGACCGAAAAGCAATTGGTTACAAGTGGGTGTTCAAGAAAAAGGTTGGTGCCAATGGGGAGATTGAGCGCTACGAGGCTCGATTGGTTGCAAAGGGATATTCACAGACATAATGGGTTGATTATGGTGAGGTGTTTTCACCTGTTGCAAAGTTAAATTCCATAAGACTGGTTTTGTCTGTAGCAGCTGCATATGACTTAGAGGTGGACCAGCTGGATGTGAAGACAACTTTCCTTCATGGTGATTTGGAGGAGGTTATTTTCATGAAGCAACAAGAGGGATTCATAGCAAGAGGCAAAGAGGAGTTAGTCTGCAAGCTGAATAAATCTTTGTATGGCCTGAAGCAGTCCCCGAGGATGTGGTACATGAAGTTCGACACTTATGTGGTGAAGCTTGACTTTGACCGCTGTGATGTTGATCACTGTGTTTATGTGAAAAGGTTAGAAGGTGACTTTGTTATTCTAACTTTGTATGTTGACGACATGTTACTTGTTGGAAACAGTTTGAAGATGATCAGCACTGTTAAAGGACAGCTAGCAAAGCAGTTTGAAATGAAAGATCTAGGCGCTGCAAATGTGATCCTGGGTATGCAGATTAAGAGGGAGCGTGACAAAGGAAGATTATGGTTAAGTCAGCAGAAGTATATAGAGGATGTTCTGAAGAAATTCAAGATGACTGACTGCAAGCCTATGTTGACTCCCATGTCTACTGGTTCTAAGTTATCGGCTGACCAGTGTCCCAAGACTAAAGAAGAAAAAGAGGAGATGGCATCAGTTCCTTATGCTAGTACAGTTGGGAGTCTGATGTATGCCATGATTTGTAATCGACCTGATATTGCTCAAGCAGTGAGAGTATTAAGCACGTATATGTCCAAGCCAGGAAAGGAGCATTGGACGGCTGTGAAACGTGTGTTCCGTTATCTTCGTGGTACGTCTGACCTTGGGTTACGCTATGAAGACGTGAAGAGCTTAAGGGGACAGACATTATTAGAGCTAAGATGCTTTGTGGATTCTGATTGGGGAGGTGACATTGATAGTAGAAGTTCTAAAAGTGGATATGTTGTTTCCTCATTTGGCGGAGCTATCAGTTGGATGAGTATGAGGCAGAGCACTATTGCTTTATCTACTACAGAGGCTGAGTACATGGCCTTGACACATGCTGTTAAGGAAGCTATTTGGTTACGGAGGTTATGCAAAGAGTTTGGCTTTGCACAAGGAGAGATGATCGTTGGGTGTGACAGTCAGAGCGCCATTTTCTTGGCTAAGAACCCAGGTTTCCATGCGAGGACCAAGCATATCGGCTTATAGTATCACTTCATCAGAGAGAAGATTGAAGACAAGGTTGTATTGCTGAAGAAGGTTGACACAAAGGTCAACAATGCTGATTTTCTAACCAAGGTAGTGACTTTAGAGAAGTTTGAATGGTGTACAGCTGCATTGGGATTGAAGAAACATGCGAAGCATTCACCAAGTGGGAGAATGTTGGGTATGGCTCATACTTCGCATGTTGATGAGGATCCTTGTTGTCGGGGTCAGCAAAAAGGAAGCGCCCCCAGGCCTGTAGAGGCTAGGTACTGTTATGGCCTCTGATTTATTATAATTTTCTTAGTAGTTTGGGCTTGGGCCCATGAATAGCTACTGTTAGGGTTTTCTAATCCTATTTATATTTTTCTTGTAAATCGAGTGACTTGTAACGAGTGACGGTGAGGTAAATATAGTACAGATAAGCTGGATATAGCCTAAATTGGGTGAACCATGGTAATTCTCTGTGTCTACTCTCTCTCTTTTTCTCTTTTCGTTCGCGATTTGTGTGATTGTCAATTTTCAACACATGTTAGATAAAAAATAAATAAAACAAAGATTATTTACAAAATAATATATAAAAATGAATAAAGCAATAAATGTCAAACAAATTATAAATAAAAAATTGTGAATAATTTGTATAACTAACTATAAAATAAGCTTGACTCTCCAATCATTGTCAATGAAGTGATCAAACTATCACAAAACACTTGGATGATGTTTAATCGATAGGTAATTAAAATTTATTAAAAAATAAATAAATCAATAGAGTTGTAACCAATTTTATTAAATTATGAAAAATTTTAAAAATAATTTTATTTTAAAAATTGGTCTTTGGGAATTGAGACGATTTTTAGGGGTTTGGTTAAGCATAGAGAAGTATAATGACTCTAACATGTGAATTATAAATTGGTAAAATGATTAATGATTTAATCATGATATACATAGATTAATTATGATTAATAGAGATTTATTTTGTGATAATAATGGTGAAATTGGATTAAAATAATAATTTTGAGATTTAGAAACTTTTTGGGAAAAAGTGTGAATAGTGGAATTTAACAAGTAAAAAATGCTACTGTGCAAATTTTACCGGAAACTTAAAAATGAGATTATTATGAATAAAAGTCTGATGCATGCCAAACAAGTCATTAGGACAAAAAATACAATTATGAGAAATTTTTGGGGTCAAATTTCAATTTTGGTAAAGTTTAGGGACCAAATTGCAATTATGCAAAAGTTAGCCTAAACTCAATTATAATGTCATAAGATAACTGAGTAGACCATCAGTGATAAGATGTAGAGAGACTTATGGGTCAAGATCTCTTACCAATAAGGCTTCATCAAAAATTCTGTTCAAGAAATCTCGCAAGGTTTCTCTAGCACCTTGCTTAATAGTTTTCAACACATGCGTGGATTTGTACTTTGCTTTGCTAGTCGCAAATCTCACCAAGAAATGGATGGAGAGATCCTCCCAAACATTGATGGAGATAGGTGGTAAAGCTGAATACCACCTTAGAGCAACTTCTTTCCACGTGGTTGGGAAGAGACGACAACCTATGGCATCAGGTATGTCCTAGGCCATTAGATTGGTCTAGAATTATTCCAGATGTTCTTGAGGATTTTATTTCCCATTGTATTTTTTTGTTGTGATTTTGATATCTTTGGAATTTCCAGGTCAATGATCTGCGGGGTAAAAAAATGAGCTACCTTGGAGAACGTTCTTGAATTATGGTGGGAATTGTGATCCATATTATGGTTAGCATCATGGTTAACATGAGGCTGATAATCTTCTATCTTTTGTTTATCTTTTTTCAATGGACCCGGGTCTTTTTGAGAGTATTCTAGTCCATGTTCATTTTCAGCAGAGTTTTCATCTTCGTTGGATTTTTTTTCATGCTTAGCTTATGATTTTTTCAATTTCAGTAATTCTTTTTGTTGTTCCTCAATCTTTTGATTTTGTTTCCCGAGGAGATCCAGGATTTATTGATTTGTTGGTTGTGGATTATCTCACTGAAGAGAAATCGGAGCTACGGATGAGGTCGTTCTCTAGTGAGATGCCTAGCCTTTTTTTTCTTCTGGATGCATTCCAAGAGTTTGACATCTTGTTCCTGGAATCAACCATTTTTTTATTTGTATGGAGTGAGAGTCGAAATTTATCAGATGGGGCTAATGATTGGTCCAACAAATATTGGGCTAGGCCTAGGCCTGACCACACTCATTTGAAGATAGATGATGTTGATGAAGAGAAGGAAAATTGTGCAGTGTATTGCCGAGATGTTGAGAAGCTGGGCAAGATGGTTGTACAATAATTTTGTGTATCTAGGCAGTTTGGAGGAGACTAGGGGGAACCTGCAAGGCACTCCGATGTTCAAGTCAGTTCAGTATTCAAGGAGGTTCAAGTATTTAAAGAGAGATATCATACCTGGGCTAAATGCCTCTGTATTTATAGTGTTGAGCATCTCATTTCATATCGTCTTTCATAGGACGATGTTCATGTCCATTGGTGGAGAAGGGTGGCCTCTCTCTGGATATTCCTTGTTGGGCAAGCCTACTCAGTAGTTGTGGTGGCAAGCAAGAGTTGCCCTTCATTCATTGGGTTCAGGTGGTGGCCATCTTTCTTGAGCTGTTGATCTCGGCAATGATGATTCCTTCCCTGTTGAGTCATGTTGGCTTGGAATCAAGTAAACGAGATCCCATGCTTTCTACGCGGGATGGGTTGCCTTTGCGGCCAAGTCACAAGGGATCTCTAGGTCTGTTGGGCTTTCATAGGATTGAGACTCTATCTCACTTGTAATATGTCCAGATCAGTATCATTAGCGAAACATCACAATTCATGTTAATAATTTCAAAACAAATTAATGTTTTATGCTTTAATTTGTCAAACCAATGTCAAATCAATTATAAAAATGAACAATGTTAATCAATAAAAATGATTGAATCACTGACTGTCATAATTTTATGATCCTTTTAACACAAAGAGCCAACAAATCATCACAGCTCATCAAACTCTTTTGATTGTATGGTCATCAATGGTGGCTGCTTTTATATCAATGCCTGTGGGGTTGCTTCTGGACCAAGCCAGTGGATAAGGTTGATATAAATTGTATCTTAGTTTCTATAAGGTTAAATGGTAGTTTAACTCATTAGATCTAAGGGTTTGAAGCATTTCTTTATATTAAAGAGATTGCAAATTAATATGATTCAATAAATGAATAAGTGTAGATATGAGAAAGAGACTTGAAGGATATACATTACCAATAGAAATTAAAATAAATAAATAAATAAAAATATATCTTTCTGCAGAGTTAATCAAGTTTTATCAGGATTAAGAGAAGAGATAGGAATCCATGCAACAAAAAAATTGAGAATATCAAGAAGCAATTATAAAATACCCTCATGTCTGGTTCCTTTTGCTTATTATCCCATAAATAAGTTGTCCAAGTTCTTCACCACAATCTTCCTGCACATGATGACCAGCCTACAAAGTGCAAGAAGTTAGTTTTATCTTTCCTCTATGTGAATAGGCACAAGATTCTTGAAGATTTCTAAAGATACAACCAAAGTATTTCATTTTTTCGCTATGAACAAGCTTATACAAATAGTAAAATTAAAAGAATCTGAATGTTTAGTTTTGAAGTTAAAAGAATCTTTCAATTAGTATTACTAGATGATGGATAATGAAAGTGTCAATTACAATTAAATGTTGGTATACTGTTTTTGGAACTATAGTGTTATTTCTGTTCATGATACTGTAGTGCAAGTATTATAGCAGCCATACTTTTAAACTTGTTTTTCCTTTCAGTTTCTTTTTGTTCCATTTAGACAACTAGGATTAGATGTTTAGAAAATGGAGGTTTGAGGAATTTTGTGTCTTACTACAATACACAGGAGTATGTTATATGTACTGTAAAGAAACGATGCAATAAGAGAGTAATTACGACTAATTATATCCTATTAGTCAGACACTAATCAAAGATAATTAGTATTAGTTATTGTAAAGAACCAATCCAACCCAAAAGCTTAAGCTATTAAGAGAAGGCCCATCAATGGTTTATATATTTCTCTAATACCCCCCTCACACGAGAGCCTGTTGGGCATGAAAGGTGGATAATGTACAGGCTCACCTACCTATGCTAAGAAATTCTACAAGAGAAAGTGGGGGGGGAGTAAGAATCGAACCTTGGACATCGAGACTCTGATACCATGTAAAGAACCAATTCAACCCAAATGCTTAAGTTGTTAAGTGAAGGCCCATTAATGATTTATATATTTCTCTAACAGTTACAATTGATTAATAGTTACATATTTAATTTGTGCCTAATTTTAACACTCTCTAAGCTGAACCATATATATCACATGCACCAAACATGTTACACATAAAGTCAATCTGATGCCCCCGTTGGTGTTGACAAAACCAGTAATACTCCTATTTTTTGACAAGGCAGCAAGGTTGTTATTAAACAACCATGTCACTTAAAAGCTCAAGTTGCAAAATGAAAGCCACTTTAATAGTTTTATATTAGACTTCTCTAACACACCTCCATACACAAGAGGTCATTGGACTTGAAGGATGTAATGCACAAGCCTACCTACCTATGCTAAGAAATTTCACAATTAAATATTTATTAAACCACCTTAAGTAAAAGTTCAAGCTATTCATTGAAGATCACTTTAATAGTTTTAAATTAACTTCTCTAACAGTTGTCACATTTTAGTTTCATTCCTTGTCCTATCTTAAACCACGTAAGTTCACATATTGACGCTGCCATAGTACAATACACAACCTCTATACTAGCAATTATATTATGTTTCTGTTAGGACCCATTTGCAAGGTATAGAGTCCCACATTGGTTGTATGGGCAACTAATGTGGGGTTTATAAGGTCTTGGGCACTTTCACCCTTTGAGCTATCTTTTGGGGTGGTACAACCCAATGTTCTTATCAAATGGTATCAGAGCCTTCCACTATGTCTCCCGTTGCAATCGAGCGGCATGGGTGATGACTTCGACATTGCAGTGTTCGCCCGGGGCTAGTAAAAGACTAGCACGCGCAGGGCTGCGGAGCGTGATGGAATGTTATGACCCATTTGCAAGGTACGGGACTTAAAGTCCCACATTGGTTGTATGAGCAATTAATGTGGGATTTATAAGGTCTTGAGCACTCTCTTTCTTTGAGCTAGCTTTTGAGGTGGTGCATCCCAAGTTCTTATAAGTTTCTTACTTATCCATGATATTAAATTACCTCTAGCGACACAGAATCATACAGTTAAGTGTCTATCAAACAGTGAACCTACCCAATCAGCAACAAAATAATATATAACTGAATGCACTCTTGATTAGAATGTGAACCATAGCATCCCAAAGACTATCCACAAGGAGCATTTAAAAGTTGGCTTACCATACTTGAAACAAAAGCAATGTCTAAATGAGTTACTCTAAGTTAAGTTTACCAGCAAGACATCTATATCTACCAAGGTCTGTTAGAGGCTCCCCTTCAATATGAGTACCACTATTATGTTGTCAGTCACAACATGCCTAGTTCTTCAAGTATGGCTAAAACATATCTCTGATGGAAACCAAAAAAATACAATGCTGAATTCATTAACAATGGAGGCATAACCTCTTTTTACATACACTAATATAATATGAATTGCATAAAATAGACCCAGAAAGCCTCAACTCCCCCTCGAACCAAATACCTAGACTTAAGAGTTCCCTAGAGGTCTTCCAATTTTCCCATTAACCAATTCTAAATACATGCATACCTCACACTCCCACACTCCTCTCCTTATATCCTATTATTTAGGAATATTCTAGAATAGTTTCCATAACAAACTAACCAACTCAAGCCCATTCTAATTAGCTCAGGTCCATCAATACTCCCCTCCAAAATTCACCTTGTCCTCAAGGTGAAGAGAAAGGGCAGCTAATATGAGAGGATTTTCCACCTGGATCCCATTGTTTAAAGTCTATGACTGATTTTGGCCCATGTGACTTGTTTTCCTTTGGGCCCATTACTATTTGAAGCACTAACTCATATTTAACCACTTCAATTTTTGGGCCTTGTTCCAACCAAATTGCTAAAGTTATCTTGATGGGTTGGATATAATCCTCCAACCCATCTTTTTTTCTTCTAACACAAAATTCTGCTGGGCTAGGCCCATTAGGTCAACAAATTTACCCAAAGCCAATTTTGCCCATCCTGTCTCTCTCTTCCTATGTAGCTTCAGCACCGTTCTTCCTCTCTGTCTTCCTCGTTTGATGGTTTCAACAATGTCGTGACTCCAGCTTCCACCATGAACTAATCTGGTTGGGTCTTCGTTATTCCCTGCTTAGCCGCTACCAACTCTCCCTCTTGCACATGATTTTGTTTTGTCTTTATGCAGATTTCTTCTTAACCTTTTTCATTTTCTTCTTTCGCTTTTGCTGCCTCTTCTTCCACTTCTTTTTTTTCTTCAATTGCTATTGCCTCTTCCTTGTCTGCTTCTTCTTCTACTTCGACTTCTTCTAATTCCTCTTTTGCTTCAACTTCTTTGGCACCTTCTTCTGCTTCAACGTTTGCGTCTTTTTCTTCGACAGCTTCTTCCTCTTCGTTTTTTTCTGGTTCTTCACCTTTTCTTCTTCTTTATCTTCAGCCCCTGTTTCATATTCTTTTTCTGCAACCAATGCATCTTCTTCATTGTTGATTTTTCTTCTTTGTTGATTTCGATTTGTTTTCCTCCTCCTTCTTCTGTTCTAATTTCTTCTTTGATTTGTGTTTCTGTTCGAACATCTTCTTCTTCCTCATCTTCTGTTTTTTCTTCTTCTTTTTCTTTTTTCTTTTTCTTTTTCCTCCATTTTGTCTGAGTTGTTTGATACTCCATCTTCCTCTGCCACACAGATCTCAGGTATATATCTCCTTATGAATGCTCTATCAAAGCTCCGCTAGCTTATATGGGGACTGAACCCACTCCAAAGTTTGTACGAGATGAGTGCACGACCTCCCAACCCCCTTCACCGTCTCATTCTGCTTATCAGCTTCTTGAATTTGATTTGCTTGAAAATGTTGTTCAAGCCCCAGCAACCATTCCCAAGCTTTAATTCCATCTTCATCTCCATAAAATTCTGGAATAATTTTTTTTTTCAGATCTGGAACAGAAACACCCCTAAATCGGAAGTGCTCTGATGCCAAATTTATGGAACCTAAAAAAATACAATGCTGAATTCATTAACAATGGAGGCATAACCTCTTTTTACATATATTAATATAATATGAATTGCAGAAAATAGACCCAGAAAGCCTCAACTCCCCCTCAAACCAAATACCTAGGCTTAAGAGTTCCCTAGAGGTCTTCCAATTTTCCCACTAACCAATTCTGAATACATGCATACCTCACACTCCCACACTCCCCTCCTTATATCCTATTATTTAGGAATATTCTAGAATAGTTTTCATAACAAACTAACTAACTCAGGCCCATTCTAATTAGCTCAGATCCATCAATCTCTCTAGGTGATTGCAACACCTGGAGTAGATTGAGCAACCTCAAAGCTAAAACCTATTTGAGAAGGCCCAAATCTTTTTTCTAAAAGAGGTGTGATAGATGCTGCCTCAGATTGTGGATACCATCTTGATCATTGCCTGTGATGTCAGGGTCATCTATATAAACAAGAAGAAAAAAGCAAAGGCCAACTGAGAAGTGCTAGAAGAAAATGAAGTGATCAGCCTCCCATTGAGTCATTCTGAATTACTGGACAACAGGACTAAATCTCCCAAACTAGGCATGAGGAGAGTGTTTCAAAAAATAAAGGGATAGACGTACTAGACATACTAAGTTGGGTGTTCCATGAGCAATAAAACCTCACGGTTAGTGCATATAGACCTCGTCCTATAATTCACCATGTAAGAAGGCATTCTTGATGTCTAACTGATGAAGGCAATCGTCTTGGTTGTTGGGTTTAAACTTTATTTAATTAAAGAAAATAGAAACTGAAGAGTTTTGTGGTAAAGGGGTGTGTCCCTTAGGAATTTGTTAGTGGACATTAATGAGTTTAAAGTTTCTAAGAAGTAGTCATTATTATGTTTAGATTTCCTAAGTTGGTCATTAGTATTCTTAGTTATTTGCTATTACTTATAATTAGCTCTATGTAAACCATTGTTTAAAAAAAGGCTTGAAATAGAAAGTAATTCAAAGAGGTATATTCAAAGACTTGTTTGTGTGTTTGAGTGTTTGAGAGAAACACTATTAGAGGACCGGTGAATTACAAATTGGTATCAGAGCTATGGAGAGTGTGACCACTTCCAGTATGCCGTTGCCCCGCCTGACAAAGGCGAATTATGTGAATTGGAGCATTCAGATGAAGGCGTTGCTCGGATCCCAAGATACTTGGGATGCTATTCAGGACAGTTTTGCTGAACCTGCAACTACCGCAGGATACTCAGCAGCTCAAACCAAGGCGTAGAAAGATATGCGTGCGAAGGACAAGGCGACCTTATACATGTTATTTTGAGCTGTAGATGACTCTGGATTTGAGAAGATAGCAAGTGCGACGACGTCAAAGGAAGCGTGGGACATTTTGGAGAATGTCTATAAAGGAGCTGACCGAGTTAAGCAGGTCCGACTTCAAACTCTGTGTGGCGAGTTGGAAGGAATGAAGATGAAAGATTCAGAGGGTGTATCCGGTTTCATCTCCCATGTTCAAGCCGTGGTGAATCAGTTAAAACAGAATGGGGAGGAATTATCTGAGACTAGAGTTGTTGAAAAGATTCTGAGGTCGCTGATAGACGACTTCGAAAACGTGGTATATGTAATTGAGGAGTCTAAGGACTTGGCTACGCTCTCTGTTGAAGAGCTAGCAGGTTCTCTTGAGGCGCATGAAAAGCGCAAGAAAAAGAAGAAGGAAGAGGCACTGGAGCAAGCACTACAGTCAAAAGCAAATATCAAGGAAGAAAAGGCGCTCTACTCTCAAAATATCCGAGGTAGAGGTCGTGGACGAGGTGGACGAGGAAATGGCCGAGGTGGTCGAGGCCGAGGTCAGGAGGTGAAACATGAAGAAAGAGCTGAGATAAGTCAGCAAAACTGGAGAGGTAGAGGACGTGGCCGAGGTGGAAGAGGCCGGTGGTCGAATCAAAATAATGTAGAATGTCATAAGTGTAGGAAGTATGGTCACTACGCAAGAGATTGCAACTCGGACAGGTGCTACAACTGTGGCCGAGTTGGGCATTTCGTTAAGGACTGCCGAGATGAAAGAAGAGTTGACGAGGCTTCAAACCTCACTGTAGAAGGAGATGGAGGAATTCTTATGCTAGCCCATGGTGAAACAAGTTCAAAGAATGAGTCGGAGTGGTATTTGGACACTGGTGCCAGTAATCACATGTGTGGTTACAATCATCTGTTCAAGGAGTTGAAAACAGTGGAAGCCGGACATGTCTCTTTTGGAGACGCGTCCAAAATTGATGTAAAGGGCTGAGGTGCGATCTATTTCTTGCAAAAGGATGGACAAGTTGGTATGATTCGGGACTTTTATTACGTGCCTGAGCTCAAAAGTAATATTCTGAGCGTTGGAGAGTTGATGGAAAAGGGCTACTCGGTTCTAATGACAGACCGAGTTCTATTATTGAAAGATATACAAGGGCGTCTGATAGCCCGAGTTCAGATGGAAAATAATAGAATGTACAAGCTGAGTCTGAAGAGCATGGAGGACGGTTGTCTGCAAGCCGAGGTGGAGGACAAGATGTCGTTGTGGCATCGACGCTTTGGACACCTTCATTACGGTGGTCTGACCGAGATGATGAAGAAAAACATGGTAGTGGGACTACCAAATATTAACTCTGAAGGAAAATTTTGTGAGGACTGCGTATTGGGAAAACATGCGAGGAGTCCGTTCCAAAGGATGGCAAGATACCGAGCTAGGCAGCCTCTGGATTTGATACATACCGACCTGTGTGGACCCATTACTCCGGGGTCCTTCAGTGGTAAGAATTATTTTGTAACTTTTATTGATGATTTTAGTCGAAAGACTTGGGTGTATTTTTTGAAGGAAAAATCTGAGGTGCTAGAGGCATTTAGGAGTTTTAAAGTAATGATAGAGAATGGTACTGGGAGGTACGTCAAATCGGTCCGTTCAGACCGAGGTGGGGAGTACGTGTCAACAACTTTCAAGAAGTATTGTGAAGAATATGGGATAAGGCGGTTCCTGACTGCACCGTACTCGCCCCAGTAAAATGGAGTAGCTGAGAGGAAGAACCGGACTATCCTGGATATGGTCCGATCTATGTTGAAGACGAAGAACATGCCGAAAGAGTTTTGGGGAGAGGCCGTACAATGTGCAGTGTACATGCAGAACCGATGTCCGCACTCAAGTGTGAATGATAAAACTCCACTAGAAGCATGGAGCGGTCTAAAGCCATCAGTGGCTCATTTCAAGATTTTTGGTAGTGTTGCATATGCACACATACCGGATCAATTGAGAACAAAACTTGAAGATAAGAGTAAGAAGTTTATATTCATTGGTTATGATGAGAAGACAAAGGGGTACAAGTTGTTGGATCCCGTCAATAAAAAGGTGTTGATGAGCCGAGATGTGAAGATGAATGAAGAATATGCTTGGGACTGGGGTTGTCCATCCGGGGTGAATGTTGAACCCGGGAAAATGACAATTGAGGTCGGACAACCTTCGTCCCATATCCCAGCTAATCATGAAATCTCTGATGATGAAGAGCATAGACAACCGAGAATGAGGAGCTTGCAAGACTTGTATGACTCAACTAACGAAGCACACTTGGTATGTTTGTTGGCAGATTCTGAAGAAGTGAGTTTTGAAGAAGCAATCCGAGATGAGAAATGGCAATCAGCTATGGAGGAGGATATTAAAGCAATAGAAAAGAACAAGACGTGGGAGTTAGCCGAGCTGCCCAAAGGAAGTCGGCCCATTGGTGTGAAATGAGTGTACAAGAAGAAAATGAACGCTAAGGGGGAGATCGAAAGATACAAAGCCCGACTAGTGGCGAAAGGATATAGGCAGAAGGCCGGCATTGACTATGACGAGGTATTCACACCCGTAGCAAGAATGGAGACAATCAGGCTGTTGATCTCTCAAGCAGCCCAATTCGGATGGCCGATCTATCAGATGGACGTGAAGTCGGCATTCTTAAATGGAGTACTCGAGGAGGAGGTGTATCTAGAACAACCTCCGGGATTCATGAAAGTCGGACAAGAAAGAAAAGTGTTGAAACTGAAGAAAGCTTTGTATGGATTGAAGCAGGCCCCAAGAGCCTGGAACACAAGAATTGACAATTACTTCAAGAAGGATGGACTTGAACAATGTCCGTATGAACATGCACTATATGTGAAGAAGAAAGGAGGTAAAATTCTACTTGTTGCTCTATATGTTGATGATCTGATTTTCTTGGGTAATGATGAAGGGATGATTCAAGATTTTAAGAAGAAAATGACGAAGGAGTTTAAGATGACGGATCTCGGTCTGATGAGATACTTTCTTGGTCTGGAGGTCAGACAAGACAAATCCAGGATCTTCGTCTCTCAGGAAGCCTATGCAAAAGGAATTTTAGAGAAGTTTAAAATGAGTGATTGCAACCCGGTTTCAACCCCCATGGAACCCGGCGTTAAACTTTCAAGATATGATGGAGGAGAAAAGGTAGGTCCGAGTGTTTATCGGAGTCTAGTTGGAAGTCTGAGGTACTTGACGTGTACGAGGCTGGATCTGTGTCTAAGTGTTGGAATAATAAGCCGATTTATGGAAGAGCCGAAGTATACTCATTGGAAGGCGGCAAAGAGAATTCTAAGATATGTTCAAGGAACAATCTCTCAAGGACTTCTTTATTCGAAGTCGGACAAGCACAAGCTGGTGGGATATTCAGACAGCGACTGGTGTGGAGATGTTGATGACAGGAAAAACACGGCTGGTTATGTGTTTTTCATGGGAAACACGACCTTCACGTGGGTATCGAAGAAGGAACCCATTGTGACTTTATCTACATGCGAAGCCGAGTACGTTGCTGCTTCCTAGTGCGTGTGCCATGCAATTTGGTTGAGAAATTTATTGAGCAAGTTGGAGCAAGAGCAAGTCGGTTCAACTAAGATCCGGGTTGATAACAAATCAGCGATCGAGTTAGCAAAGAACCCGGTCAACCATGAGAGAAGTAAGCATAATGATGTCAGGTTTCATTTCATCCGAGATCAAGTCAGAGAAGAAAAGGTGGAGCTCACTCATGTTGCAAGCCGAGATCAAGTTGGAGATATTTTCACAAAGCCCCTGCCAACGTTGTTGTTTGAGAATTGCAAGAAGAAGATGGGAATGAAGGACGATAGAGATATTAAATTTTAAGGGGGAGTTTTGTTGGGTTTAAATTTTATTTAATTAAAGAAAATAGAAAATGAAGAGTTTTGTGGTAAAGGGGTGTGTCCCTTAGGAATTTGTTAGTGGACATTAATGAGTTTAAAGTTTCTAAGAAGTAGTCATTATTATGTTTAGATTTCCTAAGTTGGTCATTAGTATTCTTAGTTATTTGCTATTACTTATAAATAGCTCTATGTAAACCATTGTTTAAAAAAAGGCTTGAAATAGAAAGTAATTCAAAGAGGTATATTCAGAGACTTGTTTGTGTGTTTGAGTGTTTGAGAGAAACACTATTAGAGGACCGGTGAATTACATTGGTTGTGTTCTCTCCCTAGTTCTCAAGTGCTACATATTTAACCCTAGGCCACCTATCATACATCAATATCCAATTTTTCTTTCAATTTATAATAAATAAACAAAGTCAATAATTTCTTAGCTTTTTAACATAACATAGAGAATGCATCGGCTCAAACTTAAATCCAACTGAGAATAGTATTTTCATGCAGAGATTACATTCAAGCTATAACTGAAACCGGATGTTTGAGTAACTAAAATAAAATATCACAACACCATATGTAGATCTTAGGGATGAGAGATTAAATAATTTTCAATATAAAAAGTATACAGAGAATCTGCAACAATCATTTCCCATTAATATGGATGCTCTTTAAGTAGAAATGCTTCTAACATTTATGAATGCATACTCCTTGGCTTTTAAACAAAATAACATGTTACTAGGCATATTTTTTACGAATATATGCTCATAGAAAGTAGCTTAGCTGAAGGTAATCATTGAAAGAATGATACTATTCTGTTTATAACAATTGATAACTCTGAAAGGCAATTGTTCACAATGAATTTCACCAGTGACAACAAATGGAAAACTAAAACTAGCTTAACACAAGCATGGGTAAATGAATATAAAGTATTTACCCTTGGAACTTCAATAAGTGTATGGTTGGAACCCTTGCAGAAATCTTCCACTCCATCATAGCTCAACCAGCGGTCTCTTTGTCCCCAATATAATGTGGTTCGAACTTTCCAATTTTTGTCCTTAAGTATTGTCTGCATATCCTCCACATACCTCTGAAGGAAAAGTGAATCAAACAAATACCATTCTATTCAAATCACAAAAAAACAAAACATTCTTTTACTTTGGTGTTTTGTGCATCAAGAATGTTAGTTATCACTTTGAAGTTTCGTAAGGCACAAGAAAAGCTTGGGAAAACTAGACAGTGCAGTACAGTATGATCTATGCATCTATGAGCAACTTGACACACCATAGTCTATAATATCTTTTTCTAATCTAACCAGCATAAAATATCTATCGGACATGAAGGTCTTGAGTTCTATTGGAAACTATGTAAATAGTATCTAGAATCATTGCGTAGGCTACCAAATCATTACAGGGCAAGTGTCAACCAAGAGTATAGCCAAGAACCAAAACCAGTTGGTCAATTGGACTTCAAGGATTAAGCTTTTAGGTGATAGCCTGAGATGTGTTTTATCTTCTGATATTCCTTGCGAGTTTCTTCTTAGTATGGCATTCATTTTGGTACATCATCAATAACTATTCACACATATCACAGTAATAGATTCAAAGGATATTTTTTAACTTCATTGAAGAAGTGCACGGCTAAACAAAAGCCTTATATAGACTCCCCTACGTGATCTAGTAATTACATCATTAATCTAAATAAACTCTTAACATAAAAAATTTATTTATGATGCAACCAATAAATAAACATTAATCTAAACTCGCAGGTAGTGTTGCAAAGTAAGGTTTCAAGGGACGAACAACTGATTATCGAGAATGTGAAAAGTCAGAAGCTGCGAGTCTCATTGCTTCATGATTTTGATTAGAGGAATAGAGAAGCGTTTTAACATGATCGGAGCTTCAAAGTACAGAGACACAACTAGATGAATTTTCCTTTACAATTCAAGCTCTTACTTTTCTCATAATCTTTCATGAACTCTTTCCTTCAATTTCATAACTAAACTCTCTCTCTCTCTCGCTCTCTATCTCTGACCTACACATTGTGCATTCAGATTATAAGCCTAAAAGACTATAAGAATGATTCAAGGACAAGAGAATGAATTTAGTGACATTAGCAGAGCATATAGGCTATAACTGAAAAGAAAAGAAAAGCAAAAAAAAAACTGCTTGTTACAATTTTTTTGTTTGAAATTTGTTCTTTTATGTTCTGAAATATATTCAGTTTTCCTCAGTCTTAACTCCATTAAATCCTCCAACAAAACTGGCCTATGTGGCATTTGTTATGGTAAACTTGACTACATTACTAAGGAAAAAAATATAATTTTGTGCCATGACTTATTTTCAAGTTTCACTTTTGTTCCTCAAGTTTCATTTGTTTCAAATTTGACATTTATGTTTTTGGATGTCATCAATGTTTTCTTCAGTTACAACTCGACCAAATTACTAATGGGACTGGTTTACCTCACATCCAAAATGGGCATAACTTGGTTAATATCACCATGTAACATGGAGTTCTAGTATCTTTTCTATACTTTTTTCTCTTAATCCCAGAAAGAAATCCACAGTTTACATATTGAAAGAGAAAAAGGAAGAAAATCTCCTTATTTGGTCCTTCTTTCTCTGTGAGATCACACTCCAGTGTGAGAGAAAAGGGAGAGTGGCTGGAAAAAGATTTATAGTCTGCGGCGTAAAGAAGATTCAGAGTCTTCAAAGAAAAAATTGTCATTTTGTTTCTAAATCCCACTCCCAATTTACTTTCATTTGTTTGAACCATTGCATGCCACATGATCCAATTGGTTAACAATATACATGTGATAAGGAATCAACCCAGCTTGCCCTTAGGCTTGGGGTTGTTATTTCCAGGGTGTTGTCCTTGCAGGTATAAAATGAAGTGAAGTATAAAATGTTAACAAATTTACCACGTAACAGAACTTGAGATTCATTCAAAATATTAAGAGAAGTAAGTATATATCATGTTGATGCACAAATAGATATTAATTGCTCTTAAGTATTTGTTACAGAAATAACCAAATATTTGTCTTAGACTAACTGGCGGAGCCACTTGTATGTCAGTTGGTGTCTTGACACCAGCTAATTTTTAAAAATGGTACAGATTTTCTTTAAAAATTATAGTATAACTTAGTATTGGTTGAGTTTTTAAAAATAATACAATCTTAACATTGGCTAAATTCTACCCAGTGGTTCTTTTGGCATTGGCCGAGTTTTTCTTCTGGCTCCGCCACTGCTTAGACTAGTAGTTCATTCATGTAATTGTTGGTAACAACTAATAGAAGTTAAGGCCAAAAGAATAAAATAAAACTCAGCACTATACAAAAGTTCCAAGTAAAGGAAAAAAATTGATGACTTATCCATTATCCATATACTCAATATCTAAGAGAAAATACATGTAAACCAGCAGAACTGATTCAATATATTTCGAGATAAAGATAAATACTCACCTTGAGGTCTTTCTTCATGGTCCTGCTAATTGCATTTAGTGCAAATCCTGAGGAACCAGAAGTAAGATAGGGTCTTCTATAGACCATTGCATCTTCTTCTTTCATTTTATAGGGTCCACAGCTTGTTAGAGCTTTGTCACTGGCCCTTAATGGATCCTAATCACACAGAAGAGCAACGTATTATGTGGAACTTTTAGGGACCGACCAAACTACAAATTCCAGCAGAAATGCATATGCATAAAAGGTACATATTAGAACTTGTATAAGATTTATGAACATTTCTACCTGTGAAAATATTTCACCTAGCAGAAAGTTGCTGAATATGGACAATGTTGGTGGAAGCTTGGCATGTTGGTCTGTTAGCTTAATAAATTAAAAAAGAGGAATTAAAGTTAGTAATACTACTAAGAAATACACACAGAAGATAACATTCAGAACTGCAACACAGACTCTGCCCCTGGCCTCAGCCACCCAAAACATTCCCCAAAATCACTTCCCCCCCCATTTAACTGCCTTACCTCTCTCCCATCATTGTAAAATTATCTGTAAAGAATCAATGCAACCCAAAAACTTAAGCTATTGGGTGAGACTACATGAATGGTTTTATATAACTCTAACATGACCTCTCACACGAGAGCCAATAATATTCACTTCTTCTTTTCAATTTTATCCTCTCCAACTCTGGTGCCAAACATTCATTCTCTTGAGATATATAAAACCATTGATGTAGCCTCACCTAAAAGCTTAAGCTTTTGGGTTGAATTAGTTCTTTACACATTCTATTACACTCATCTTTTTCCTCCACAACCGTTTCATCCTCATCTCTAACAACACTCTTGTGCTTGTGATACTTCTCGAGCATCAATATAAAATGCAATGTAGCCTTACAGTAATTTACAGTGCTTAAATCTACAACCTTTCTTTGTTGTCTTTACTCTTTATGTAACTATTCAAGAACCCGATTTTCTTTGCTTTTCCTAAATAATCACCATAACTTGGAAAAATGTGAGACGACAAAAGGAAATAGATGCAAATTGATGTTTGAAATTCAAAATTATATTATGGCCCAATATTATTCAACTAAATTGGGAAAAAATAAACTTAACAAGAGAGATAGCAATATAAGAGTCACCATTCACTTTTCAGCCCAAAAAAACAAAAGCCACCATTCACCTACCATGCTGCAAATCTATCTGTTAATTATCATGAGACAAGAGGTATTCATTGTAATCCTTGTTATATTGAACTACACAACATTGGTGCTATTATATAGCAAACCAATTGAAGAATACAAAGAGACACACTCGATGTGGGACTTCTATACTATGTACACTCGATGTGGAACTTCTATACTATGTACAGCAACACTCCCCCTCAAGCTGGAGCATATAGATCGTATGCACCAAGCTTGTTACATATCTGGTCTATTCTAGGTCCTCTCAAAGACTTAGTAAATACATCAGCTAATTGATCATTTGAGTTGACAAAACGAGTGGCTATATCTCCTGAGAGAACTTTTTCCCTAAGGAAATGACAATCTATCTCAATGTGCTTAGTCCTTTCATGAAACACTGGATTTGAAGCAATATGCAAAGCAGCTTGATTATCACAAATGAGAGATGTTGGGCCAGTGTCTCCAAACTTGAGTTCCTTCAGTAGCTGTTTTAACCAGATGAGTTCACAGGTAGCTGTGGCCATGGAGCGATATTTTGCTTCAGCACTTAATCTAGCAACTACACTTTGCTTCTTACTTCTCCAGGAAATCAAGTTATCTCCAACGAATACACAATACCCAGAAGTGGATCTTCTATCAATAGGAGAACCTGCCCAATCAGCATCTGAGTATCCTACAACTCTGGTATGACCTTTGTTTTCATAGAGAAGACCTTTGCCAAGAGCAGTCTTGATGTACTTGAGGATACGGATTACTGCATTCCAGTGATCTTCACAGGGAGAATTCAAGAACTGACTTACTACACTGACTGCAAAGGAAATGTCTGGTCGAGTAACTGTGAGATAGTTCAGTTTCCCAACCAATCTTCTATACCTTTCTGGATCAGAAAATAGCTCCCCCTGATTTGGTAAAAGCTTGACATTTGGATCCATAGGAGTATCAACGGGCTTAGCATTTAACAATGATGTTTCCTCAAGAATATCCATAGCATATTTTCTCTGTGATAGTACAATGCCATCTTTGGATTGGGCCACTTCTATCCCTAAGAAATATTGGAGTCTTCCAAGGTCCTTTGTTTGAAAATGATGGCACAAATGTTGTTTTATCTGAGTTATACCATGAGTATCATTACCTGTAATGACGATATCATCAACATATACTACCAAATAAATAGAACCTGAATCAGAGTGTCTGTAAAAGACTGAGTGATCAGCCTCACTTCGAGTCATGCCAAACTGCTGTACAACAGTGCTAAACCTTCCAAACCAAGCCCGGGGAGACTGCTTTAGACCATACAAGGATCTTCGGAGACGACAAACTAGGTTATACTCCCCCTGAGCAACAAACCCAGGAGGTTGCTCCATATAAACCTCTTCCCGCAGATCACCATGGAGGAAAGCATTCTTTATGTCCAGCTGATACATAGGCCAGTGATGAATAGCTGCCATAGTAATAAAGAGGCGAACAGAAGTCATTTTCGCCACGGGAGAAAATGTGTCACCATAGTCAATGCCAAATATCTGAGTATAACCTTTAGCCACCAAGCGGGCCTTAAGACGGTCCACCTGACCATCCGGACCAACTTTAATCGTGTATATCCATCGACAGCCAACAACAGACTTCCCAGAGGGAAGGGGAACCAGATCCCAGGTACCACTACTCTGAAGTGCACTCATCTCATCAATCATGGTCTGTCGCCAACCAGAATGTGATAACGCCTCACCTGTAGTCTTAGGAACAGATACAGAAGAAAGAGAAGAGAGGCAAGCAAAATAGGATGGTGAAAGACGATGATAACTCAAATTTATTAAATACCTGGGAGGGGGACGAGAATCATGAGTACCTTTCCGGAGTGCAATGGGCACATCAATGTCAGACGGAAGGATCGGAGATGCCGGAGGAGATGATGACGGAAG